ACGTACGGTACGTACGAAGTTTAACTTAACGTACCGACGACCGACCCCGTAACCCTTACGTCCCGCCCGTCCTCCTCGTCGTACGACCGTACCCTACCCACTCTCTCCTCCTCTCTCTCTCTCTCTCTCTCTCTCCCCGCCCTCTCCCGTAAGCCCTACCCCGCATCTCTCTCTCTCTCTCTCTCTGGTACCTCGCTGAATTTCAGCTGCAACTCTTAAGATTTCTCTCTCTAACTCACTCCCTACAGAGTCAAGATTTGGCATGAGAATGGAAGCCCCATTCTTGTATGGTCTTCCCTAACCAAATTCGCTTCACATAGATGACCTCCTGGACTTCTCAAATGATCAATTTTCAGGTGAACAAACAGTCGGTAACTTTGAAATGGCTTATTCTTCTCCTTCACTGGCAATGGCTGAGAGAAAGAAATAACATGGGTCATGGGAGGACGGAAAGAGTTAACCATCCTCGTTTGGTCAAGAAGAAAACTAGAGAGAGAAAGGGTTTTAAAAAATAGGTTTTTTGGGAGAGAAAACGGGCTATTAGAAAGAGAACGAGAAAGGGCAGTAGAGTGAGAAAACAGGTTTTAAAGAGAGCGAGTGGCATTTTAGAGAGGGGGGAGGTGGGGATGGGGAATGAGGTCGGTGAGTGGTCACGTATACTAACCTTTCTTCCCAATACTATTCATTTTTCAATGCCTTTTTTAAGGACTTCAATTTTTTTTTTTAAATGTTTTAGCATATTTTCTTTATAATTGTTTTGTTTTTTGGCTTACTAAAACAAGAAAAGTTTGAAGAGAGATTTTTAAAAAAACAAAAAACAAAAAAAAGGGCTTCTAAATGGGGTTTTATATTTTTTTTTGTGTTGGGGGGGGGGGTGGTGGTGTAAAGTATGGGGGCAGCCCGGGCTGTGACTTTTGGTGCGGGCCTTACCAGGCTGGGCCAAAATGGTTTCAAACCGGGCCACAGTAGCAGCCCTAACTATGGTTTTAGTAGTTACTAACAAGCCCGAGAGATTTCCTACAGACTATTCTGGAAAACAGTAAAAACATACAAACAAGCAAGTAAACAAAATGCGTGTGCGCGCGTGTGAGAAAGAGAGAGAGAGATATATATATATATATAATAATCATGCAGATAAAGTTTTTCATGTTAAAAAGTTTATTCATTCAGGATAAAATGTCCATGCTTTCAAATAAAAGTGTTGAAATAAACAATGGAAGTGGTGACTTAGGGAAAGTTTCAAACAAAAGAGGTGCACCACAAGACGGAATTTTTCCATTGGAAGTGGGTCACATCCCGATCTACTTGGTGGAGGAATTGTCTTTGGGCTTGGGTTGTTGCTTATAAAGCCTCTCCTGCAAAACAGTAAAGATGAAATTACATCCTTTTCTTGAGAAATTCAAAACAGAAAATTGAAGTCAGGATCCAATGCTTGGATCAAAGCGAATAGTGCAAAGCTATTTGATTTCAACGCCAGAGGCCCACAATTTGTATACAGTATGCAAATCACAGATGGGACCAAATGGAAACAGGAAAGTGAGCGAAAGGCTGTCCTTGAGCAAATGTACTTCATATACCAAGAAAAGACTACTTGTAATTTCAAATCATAAGGCTCCAAGAAAAACAAACAAGAGAATAAACTTCAGGAAAGATTAAAAAGGGTAACGCTAACAAATGTACAAGATAGTTCAGAGACAGCAAGTGGCATCGTATGTTCTATTTATTCGGTGGTGTATTTGTTATCCAGTGTTACCCACGTTCTTGGGAGTCGAGACTCCAAATTGGGCATTTATTGAGACTCGACGAGAAATCTTTCAATTCTTTTTTTTTTCAATTCTCAAACTTCTTTCTCATATTAAATGAGGATTTCATGTGCTTGGGACTCAATAATCAAATGCGGCCTGATTGGGCATTATTCTCAACTTTTCTTGGAAGTTTGTTGCAAATTACAGGCCAACAAGACAAACCTCAGATAAGGCTTCTGGGATGAGGTAATCTCGGAGACCAATTCCCCAACTAACCCTTGGGTCCCCAGTGGAGACTTCAACATGATCAGATGGTCGCATGAGTGTTGGGCTTCAACAGAAATTGCAGTAGCTCAAAAATGTGTTCAAAAGCAGTGGAAATCTCATAAGAAATCTCCCACCCCCAAAAAGACATGGCGCCGGGCCATCTTCTCTAGGTTCTAGGACTCCTTATCCCCTGATATTGCAGCTTTTTTCAATGAATTCTTTCACCGAGGACTCATTAGCAAAGAAATGAAAGCTAATCTCATTGCCCTCATTCCCAAAATTGAGGAACCTGATGATTTAAAAGACTTCAGGCCCATTAGTCTCCTCAACTCAACCTACAAAATCCTATCCAAGGCCCTCACATCACAACTGAGAACCATTCTGGATCAACTTCATTCTCAAAATCAAAGTGGTTCTGTTAACAACCGATAGATCCTTGACAGAGCTCTTGTTGCTAATGAAGCCTGACACTACAAGCACCAAATCAAGAAGCATGTCTCATTCTGAAACTGAATTGGGAGAAGGCCTACGACCATGTTGTCTGGTATATCCTAGATCAAATCCTCTTCAAAATGTGACTCGGACAGATAACAAAAATGGATCTATGGTTGCATCTCTTCCACCTTTTTCTCTATTCTCATCATTAGCACCCCCAAACGACACCTCCCCCCTTTCAGAGGCTTACACCAAAGGGATCACCATCCTGGCAGAAACTTTTTGTACATCTCTCTCCAGATAGTATTAAAGAGGTATCCTCTCATGTTTCAAACCTTCTAAGGTTGGAGGTAGAATCTGTCATCCCTAATACACAGATAATGCTCTGGTATTCTGAGATGCCGATAACGAACAAGTTACAACTTGTGGTTATTTCTAAGATGATTTGAACTCGCTTCTGGCTGCCAAATCTAAAGTCATCATCAGCAGAGCCTTTTCCCAACTATTTGGAGTCAACTAAATTGCCAAATCTAGGTAATAGGGATTTAACCGTCCAATGATCATCTTTCCTTCCTAGCTAATAGATTGGGTTGTGGTACAAACCAACTCCTAGCCAAGTACCTCGGCCTATCTCTCAGCCTACAAAGAGGCACTTTGGGATATCAGAAGATGTCAGCTTCTTGAAAAGGCCGGTAACTCTCTCGCAGAGGCAGAATAGCTCTCATCAAAGTTGCCCGATCAAATATCCCAATCTATTCCATATGGCTTTCAAGATGCCTGCTAGCATCATCAACTCTCTCAAAAGGCTTATGACAAACTTTCTTTGGTTTAGGGACATTTCCAAAAATAAAATCAACTTAATTGCTTGGGTCGAATTTTTAAACCCGACAATGTTGGACGACTAGGGATTTGTAGCCTTAAGCTGATGAACTTAGCTATAATTGGCAAGTGGTGGCGGCGCTTCATCAGCGACCCAAACATTTTATAGTGTCAGTTGCTCATTTAAAGTATGGCACCAATCTGCAGGGTTGGTTCCCTTATTAGAGGAACCCAAGGTCTATAGCTTCTTCAGGATTTTTTTAAAACTTTTATGGGCGTCTCGAGATTTTCATCCCTTTTCTAAGGTTCGAAGTTAAATCCAGGAGAAAAAGTTCTTTTCTGTAATCACACTTGGATGGGCAATCAACCCCTAAAAGAAACCTGGCCTAATCTCTTTGCAAACCCAATGCTACAGTTACTCAATATTTCGACCACAATGGCCTTAACAAATCTTAGACACCCACATGTAGAAGATCACTCCATGAACATGAATGTGAGCATCTCATAGCTCTCCATAGCCTTCAAGCCTCCTTTTTCATCAGTGGATCTTGGTATGGGCCAAGGCCCATACAGGGGTTTCCTAAGTTGCTTCTTTCAATAAAAACTTAACCCTCATTATCCCAAGCTCTATCCACTCACAATAAAGCTTGGCTCATCCAAACCCTCCAAAAAACCGAAGCTTCCACCTGGCTTGTAATCTCCAATAGAAACTGAACTTCAGACCAACTAGAGACCAGAGGCTCTAACCTTGCAAACCGATGCTCACTTATAGAGAGAACGAAGACTCCCATTCTCATGTTTTTTCTAAAGAAATACCTCCTTTCTCGAGAAGTTAAGAGAAGGGAGAGAGCAACTATAGAAAGAGCCAGAGATCTCACAATCTTCTGGCACAACAACTGCAAACATCTCAAGAGCTTATCCAAAATAGATTTCGAATGGAATTGGGGGGGCATCATTCAATCCAGACCAACCAAACCATCATAGTCCAAAGCATGAAGCCTCCCTCTCAAGAGATTCAATCCGAGCTTGGGCAACCACCTCCTTGTCGATGGTGATTCCAAAAAATGTTATTTCATGGGCATCTGGCAGTTTGCAGCCCTTGGAGACGAACCCATATTTTTTACCACATTGCAAATTTATGCAGGCCACATCGAGTCGACTTCCCTCACACTTGGTAGGATGCAAACTTGACAGCTGATACAATGGGACAGCGCCGTACTATACCGACACCGCACTCCTGACTTCAGTAGTCATAGTTTTTGGGTTTACAGCTGACCTTTTTTAGTTAGAGCCCCAATGCGTTGTATGCGTACCTATGACTGTGTTTTTTTTATTTCTATTTGCCTTTTCTCTTATGCTTTCATGTATTTTTTCGCTTTTCTTTTTCCTTTTCTGTCCCCTCTTTGCTCTCACTCTATCTTGCCTCCTCTTCTCTCACTCTCTCTTCTCTCTCTCTCTCTCTCTCTCTCTCTCTCCAAGGCTGCTTCTTTTCCCCTTGCCCCACCTTCCTACTTCACATTTCCCTGCCAACATCCTCTCTTATCTCTCTTTCTCCTCCCCCACTTCTCTCAATCTCCAGATAACCATCTCTAATCTTTCCTTTTGTTATCTTGATACCTCATTTATTGATACTCAATTTTTTTTATTGTACAGTTCTAGAGCGCCCAGTCTGTTGGCTGCCTACCCCCACATCTTGTGGGTTTTTGTAGACATA